GAAATTAAAAAAATTCAGTTCCCTAGGTATTCTAATTGTAAGTGTCCCTGTTGCTTCCATTTTACGTAAAACTTCCTCTTTAATCACATGTTCAGTCCGTGGTATTCTCAGCATCCTTCTATAGAACCACATTTCTCTTGCTTCAAATTTATCTTCACCTCTTCTTCCTTCGCTGCCTTATAGGATGACATTACGTAGCGCTTCCACACGCTTTTATTTGTTGCCTTGCTAACAGAAATGCTTGTGTTACTAGTCCCGATTCGCTGTCGGTCACCCAGTGAAATGGTGACCAATCTGTAAACTTGCTTGCATTTGTTAATCGGACCAGCCTATTTGCCGTTAAGTCTAGATAAAATATACGTGCGTATGTAGCCAGGTGATTTTTTTTTTAAAGTGTTGTACACCTACAGAGAAATTAACTCCTCGAGCCCAACCGAATCAATTTATACATCACTTCTTTTTTTTTTCTTTTTCTTATTGCAATATACAAACTTCAATCAACTGGTGAGCTCTTTCACAATCTTTCTTTCCCTCTTTATCATCTCTTTCTTTTTTTATCATTTAAATCAGTCTCTCATTATCGCAGAAACGTACGAAATATTCTCGTCGCCTCGTTGCACATCCAAGACGGTTTTCAGCTCACCTCGCGCATGCGCCAATTGCTACACCGTAGGCCCGGAAGCAACGTGCACGGAGCGACCTGCGCACAACAATTTCCGCCATATTTGCAGCCGAGCGTTTGCCAGAGAAATCCAATAACGAAAGGAAATGAAATAAACATTTCTTTTCCGCGCTACTATTTTTGCATGATGTGCGGCTATTTTTCCCGCTTTTAAAATTCAACGGACACGCAATACGTTGTGTTTGTTTATTCTTCTATGTGTTTATATTTGCGTGTTTGCGTATGTATGTGTTATGGGGGTCCATGTAGGCAATTCGTTGTGTGTGTACGTGTTTCTCGCTTTATTTGTCTACGCGTGTGTTTGATGGTTTGTATACGTGTGCGTATGTTTATACCTGGATCCGTTTTCTTCATGTGCGTTTTTGTAAGTGTATACATACGTTTTTTGACTTTCTATTTATTAATGTACGCCTATATGTGTTTTGATGCGTATAGATTCACTCACACACACACAGACACACACACACACACACACACACCAAAATGTGTGAGTATAGATATAAGGAGGTAAGAGGGTGGGGAGTAAGACGTTTAATAAGCAAGAATTAGAATTCTAAGCCATGTTCAGGAAATCTTCTCCTCTTTAACGATCTTTCCGTAGACACGGATGAACTGACGGCTAATAGCCCGAGAAACGGATTCGCCGTGCCGGTTTCAAATCCGGCTGAGACAGGTTTCGTCTACTTCGCATTAATTCTCATTGGGGACGCATAAATCTATCTCAACCCCACCGGATATCAGTAACATAACAGAGTAGACTTTGTTATCTCGCCTTAGTTAGCAACTTGTCTAGCAGAAGTAATAAAAATCTTGAGATAATCAGCGGGGGAAAAGCCACTAATTTTTTGAGAACCTAAAGAATGTTTCTTTTACGCTTAAGTTCATCAAGACTCGAGAGTAACTCAAGGAAGGGGTTTACTGTTCAAATGCTTACTTTTATAACTTACTAGCAGTAGAGCCCGGCGTTGCCCGGGGATGTAACAGTAAGAGATAGATCAAGTATCGATCATCATAAAGACTGAAAAATAAAATTGACAAAGATTATTGTTTATGGTTGACGGACACGCGTATCTTAATTAGTTTTTTGTTTTTTTTTACGAATTGGTCAAACCCAAACTCAAACAAAAACATTGTTTTCAATCGTTATGAGTCTATCGATTGAATAGAATTTTATTATAAACAATTGTCTTGTAAATGGAATTTTTAAAGCATTCTGAATGTAAAAATAAAGAAAAAGTGTGCAAGACAATAAGAAACACTACCTGCCAAAAAAGTGAAGTTTTATTGACATCGGTTGAAAAATGTAGGAAATCCGATCCCATATATGAACGAACACACACACAAAGAAGCTGGGTTTTATAAGTATAACTCGATATGAGTTGTCCCCCTTTCATTCTCGGGATGCCTCTTAATCGTGTTTTCAAATTGATTTCGTGCAAAAACAATTGTGTTTTTCCAATTTTTGGCACTGTTAGAACCACCGCATGGTAATTTTACGTCGTCCTGTGAAGTTTTGTTGAAATCGGTTGAAAAATGTAGGAAATCCGATCCAATATATAAACGTACACACACACACACACACACACACACACACACACACACACACACACACACAACCTGGGTTTTATAATAAGTATGATTAATATAATAAATGGTTATCCTATAATCATTCCAAGTTAAGATTTAAACAATTAATAATAACAGCCTGTGGATTAACTGATTTATCATTTTAAGGCTTATCAAAATTTTTGCGATATTTTAACGTCGAAACATATCTTGGCATTTTAAGGAAAATTCATTTTTTTTAAGAATGGACTTTGCATTAACAATGTTTCGTGAATAACAATAATTTTTCTAAATGCATATGCTACTATTTAATGGATAGGAGTGGATTTGGATTCATAGCTGTTCAAAGAGTATTAACGCGTAAGCGAATGCAATGAACTCGACTAGAATTCGAACTCGATACTCTGATTTCTCATTCCGTGCCACAATCAATTACACCCCCGCATTTCTCTAACAATAAGAACAATAATAATAATTGCACTTATAAATGTTTGACAATTTTCTATTTCTTATAATATATAGTATTTATTTTTAGATTTTATGGCATTCTCATATTTAACAAATAAACCCTAGGAGTAGTGGAATTATTAATAACTAGTAGGCTTCGTCTGCTTGCTGTTGCTTTGCGAAGTAAAATAAATTCACTACTTAAAATCTTTGAAACAAAACTTTTAAATGAACATTTCATTCATAAATTGGTTTTAATCATGAAAGAAAACATTTGTATTTATTGCGAGATCTAAACATTAGAATTCTAGCCATTTTTAAACAAATGAAACATGGTGAAACTGAATAACATTTAACAGGTGTTGACGGAAATAAAATACATGTATTTGCATGAATTAAAAACATAATCTGGTCATTTTTCTATGAAAAATTAGTTGTTTTTCTATGGAAATAATGTTCATTATTTATAAAATGTTGAAGGGGATATGAACGCTATTTACGTTATTAGGACTATTGTTATTGTTTATTACAACGTTCGGCCTTCTTTAGTATCTGTCTATTTTTCTGAGATGAGGTATTATGTACACTATTTACATTATTCGGACTGTCGTACTCATCTTTGTTGCCCTATTTATCACAACGTTTCGGAGAAGTATATTCGGATTTAGTATCTTCTTTAGACAATAGTCCGAATAATGTAAATAGTGTACATAATACCTCATCTCAGAAACATAGACAGATACAGAGGAAGGCCGAAACGTTGTAATAAATATAGCAAAAAAATGGGGACAATAGTCTGAATAATGTAGATAGTGTATATAATACCTTATCTCAGAAATATAGATAGATACTGAAGAAGGCCGAAACGTTGTAATAAATATGGCAACAAAGATGGGGACAATAGTCCGAATAATGTAGATAGTGTATATAATACCTCATCTCAGAAATATAGATAGATTCTGAAGAAGGCCGAAACGTTGTAATAAATATATCAAAAAAATGAGGACAATAGTCTGAATAATGTAGATAGTGTGCATAATAACTTATCTCAGAAATATAGACAGATACTGAAGGGCTGAAACGTTGTAATAAATATGGCGACAAAGATGAGGACAATAGTCCGAATAATGTAAATAGTGTACATAATACCTCATCTCAGAAATATAGACAGATACGGGTTATGGACATTCAATGTATTTGTTCAAAGAATATGACTGTAAAGACAGAAGAAATTAATTAGTCAGATGTGGGTACCGGTTTGTTTTAGTTAAGGAAAGTTTTACAAATTATAGATGCCAACTTGTTGAAGACCAAGTTAAAAGCAAATTTTGAAGACTTTTCTGCACTATATAAGACAATATTCTTAAACTGAACTATTAATATGAAAATCAAAACAATCCTTTAATAAAGGAATAGTAATAAAGGAAAGTTACTGAATAAAATATACTTTTTTAAAGTCAATATGGAAATTACTTAAACCTGAAAACTGATATTTCCTTGTAGTCGACAACAGATATTTAGCCTTAAGCGTGTAAATCCGTGGAAATACAGATTCGCAACTAAAGAAAATTATACTGAGTGCTGGGTCTGGGGAAGAGCTACCCGAGGTCGCGCCATTTCGTCGCACCAGAGAGAGAGAGAGAGAGAGAGAGAGAACAATGTTCGCACCGTTGCCCGCGCAGCCAACGGTTGCGGCGCTTCGGAGATATTTTGTTCGTCGCCCGGGTTTACGCGTCGGGCTCCCCACATTAAACCGACCTTTTGTCACAACGCTTCGTGGTGAGTCGAGTAAATACCAAATTACTATAAAGTAGTTTCTAACACCTTTATCTATCATCACTCAGTTGCTACTCTGTATTTGGGCAGAGTCGCAACTGAGGGAAATTTTACTGAGAGGTACGCAGCACTAGGGAAGAGCTGGCCAAAGGCGCGCCCTTTCATTGCACTAAAGAGAGGGATCGGTGCACGCAACAAGGTCAGCGCAACCGACGGTTGCGGGTGCTACGATCAATTTATAATCCTAGCCCGGGTGTACGCGCTCGGGCTCCTAACATTAAACCGAACGTGTGTCACAATGCGACTCCGTGGGGGGTCGAGTAAATAGAGAAAGAGAGTATGGGTGGGGTAGAAACAGAGTGAGAAATAGAGAAAGACAATAAGAGAGAAAGAGAATGCTACGTATATAAAGAGAGAGAGAGAGAGATTGAGAGAATGAGAGGAAAAAAGAGAGAACTACAATTACACAGAGAAACAGAATATGAAGAAAAAGAATTATATAGGGAAAGGTAGTGATAAAGAAACAGAATTAGACGGAGTAAGAGAATATGAATGGGAATAGAATTAGAAAAAGAAAGGAAATGAGAGTGATAGAAAGAGAAAGAGAAAGAGAAAGACAGAGAGAAGGAAAACATATAAACGTGTGAAAGAGAGAAAGGGAATTAGATAGAAAAAGAGAATCAGTAAGATAGAGTGAAATTAAGATGAAGAAAGCAAGTAAGAGGGAAATAGTATAATATAGAGAAAGAGTGGGAGAGATATATATAAAGGGAAAGAGAAAGATAATTATAGTGAGGAAAAGAGGATGAGAGAAGTAGAGTGTGAGAAAAAAAGAGAATGAGATAAAGTGAATGAGTGAGATAGATAGATTGATAGATAGATAGATAGATAGAGAGAGAGAGAGAGAGAGAGAAAGAGAATGAGAGAGAGAGAGAAACAGAGTGTAAGAGAAACAAAAATAATGATGTAAAGAAGTAGGGTGAGACCGGAGAGAAAGAAAATGACAAAGAGAAATAGAGAGCGGGGGAAGGTGGATAAACAGAATGTGCAAAGAAAAAATGTGAGTGAGAGAGAGATAGAGAGATAGATAGAGAGAGAGAGAGAGAGAGAGAGAGAGAAACAGAGAATAAAAGAAACAAAAATAACGATAGGAAGAAGTAAGGTGAAGGCGAAAGAAAAAGAAAATGACAAAGAGATATAAAGGGAGCGAGAGAGGAGTGGGGAAGTGGATAAAGAGAATAAGAGAAAAATATGAATGCGAGAGATAGAAAGAAAGTGTGAGAAAAAGAGAGAGAGAGAAGGCGGAGAAAGAGAGAGAGAGAGAGAAGGCGGAGAAAGAGAGTGAGAGATAGAGAAGGCGGAGAAAGAGAGTGAGAGATAGAGAAAAAAATGTGAGTGTTTTCAGTTTTTCCGTTTTTCTTCCCTCCTCAATTGCCAACCTGCCGCAATTTGCGTTCCATTTAAGCTTCGGCCTGCAGAAACCGACGGCAAAAAGTGCTACCTGTTCAGCCATGTAATTGCTTGATCCTCAAATCTTCGCCTGTCGACCAAATAGATGCGCCAGTCGGGTGGCAGAAGAATACATACATACATATATATATATATATATATATATATATATATATATATATTTGTATGTATGTATGTATGTATATCGTTTAGTTTCCTCACGCCCGCAAACAAATCTCCATTTTGTAAATCTCAGAGGAGAAAGGTTTTCAGACGAACATGCGCGCTAATGGAGTTTCAAATGGACGAGAGATCACAGATTTCTCGTTGGCGATTTTAGGATTTTCGGAATTATGAATCTATCGCAAACTTACGAACATATATGGCCATTTTCTATTTTTTAATCTAGCTACCTCTGTAGAATGTTTATCTATCTATCTATCTATCTATCTATCTATCTATCTATCTATCTATTTATCTGAGCATATATATGTGTGTGTGTGTGTGAATGCGTGTGTGCGCGCACATTCATGTCTATCCCTCTATCTAATCTATATCTCTTTATAAATACATATATATGCGTGTGTGTATGCATATAGACAGGCATATAGATAGATAGATAGATAGATAGATAGATAGATAGATACGAAATTTCTCAAACATTCAGGCCGGTAGATGTAATTAATACTGTTTAAAGAATGCATCAGAGCATTTGGTCAAATAAGTGTATCCATAAATAAAAGAATAAATACAAAATATATTAAAATATTTGTTGTATTTAATCCATTTCATTCATTTTTATATATATATATATATATATATATATATATATATATATATATATATATATATATATATCCACTAATTATTATTTAAGACATATTTTACCTTGCTGACCGAAAGATCCTCTGTGGCTCAATCGGTAAAGCACATCAGGCTATATGACGGTTCCGTATAGGATACAGGTTGGATTTTCTATGAAAATTTCTCGGACATTCAGGCCGGTTAATACTGATTACTATTAACAGAGTATTTACTTAAATATGTGTATCTATAAAAAGAACGTATAAACATAAAATTGTCTTATATAGGGTGAGGTCAAATTTACCCACCATAGGGATAATTTATTAAAGTAAAATTGCGCATTAAAATTTTATTTATTATTTATTTAAACGTCCAACTATTGACTCATCAGTAGGAAGCCAATATGGATTCTGCCTGCTGAATTCCTCTGCAACAGATTTGTGTGTAGCATCTGCCCGCCCCTACATGAACACAAAGGTAACTCGTTCATCTTTTGTTAGTTTTTTCAGCCATCTTAATTCGGCAAAATTGTTTCGGAAAATCAGAAAATATCAAAACAAATTAGATGTTTAAGTAGGATTAATTAATTAAGCCCCATGGTGCGAGGCTTTTGTCTCCCACCCACTGTATATTATGCTTCGATGAAACATGACAAAATAGATGTTTACAAGACTGTCATATATTTACCGTGTATCATGTCTGCTTAGGTTTGCTTCAATCTTTTTTTCTTCAATTTCTTGGTTTGAAAATTGATCAAGATTCTACAAAATTTTTTTTCTTTTTTTCCATTAGTTTCAGTCTCATCAGAAAATCCCTAAATTTTTTTATGAAATTTTACAGCTCGTTAATTTTTTCCAAGTCTAATTTTATATCAATTCAGTCTCATCATGTAAAGGAGACAATCTAATTTATATTAAACTGGAAAGGATTAAAACAAAAAAAAACAGATTTTAGTATGTCAAATTATTTAACTTTTTTGAATTTTTTTTTATAATTTTATATCAGATTCGCAAATTACAGCTCATTTTTTTCATCCGTTTGCCTCAGGTTAGATCGAAACTATGAATTATATATATCGGTAGGAATGGGGGAAAGCGTATTTACTTTTTACAAAACAAACAGACAGTAGTATGTCGAAAATTTAAAGTCACTGTTTCAAAAAACTCCACAGAGTGCTTGAAATCAAATTATATAATATATATATATGGTGAATAAGCAATCATAAAAATCCTTCATGGTAATAATATATTTCATGTGTTATTATCCATGGAGAAATGGAGTTTAAAAGCGACAAAAGCTTTTTTAATGGCGTTTCGCTTCGTTTGTTAAGTAGGTGACGTCAGTTCAGAATGAAAGTTTTTTTTTATATTAAAAACTTTAATGAAAACAGTTAGTCATTCCTAGGCTTGTTTACTTTATCTCATATATATATATATATATATATATATATATATATGTGTGTGTGTGTGTGTGTGTGTGTGTGTGTGTGTGTGTGTGTGAAAATATATAGAAAAATAGGAAAGAACTCGTTAGGTAAGTAATCCAAAGTTCTTTAGTATTTTTGTTATTATTTTTAAAAAATAGTGCTCGATACAAAAGTAGGGCATAAATATAGTTATTTATTTAAAAATATGATTCCAACGGTACATAAGAGTTCTCATGTTTCAAAACAAGAGCCGAAAACTTCAATATCATTATTTGAATTAAATTGAATTAAAGTACCAAACTCTGTTCCATCTTCAAGCGAAATTTTTTTTTTGAATACCTAATTCTTGAAATTTACGCGTTTTTATAAGCATATACATTATTAAAATTAAAATTACTATGGTAACGGCTAGAGCAATTATTTAAAGAAAAGGGGCGTAAGGGTTAATAATTTGTATCAATATCTCAGTTACATTCAAAGAGGTCAAAGGTACTTAAATTCAATTTAATTCAAATAATTACATTGAAGTGTTCGGCTCTTGTTTTGAAACATCTTGTTTTGCGATGGAATCATATTTTAAATAAATATATTTTATATATATATAAATAATATATATATATATATATATATATATATATATATATATATATATATATGAGTGTGTGTGCGCGCTGTGTGTTTGTGAGGGGTTTGTTATTTTTATTTTATATATATATATATATATATATATATATATATATATATATATATATATATATATATATATAAGCAAATATATGGATATAGATCCGACAGTATGAAAAAAATATACAGAAAAAAAAAAAAAAAATCTTAATATGCAATTATGCTGTATTAATGTTAATATAAAGTCGACGTTGGACGTTTCAGTCTATTTAAGACCATCTTCATGGACATTTTCATTTAAACATAATTAACATTAGAACATATGAAAATTCAACACGAAAAGACGATAGACATAAGAGCACAACTAATCCAAACAGATAACTGAAATTTTTTATATAAGATCAGCGTTCCGTTTAAATATGATCACGTCGTCGTCACGTGGGCGATGTTGTGAAAACGTATTCGAAGATGATTTCCAATATTAAAATATTAAAAAATGAAAATGTCCATGAAGATGGTCTTAAATAGACCGAAACGTCTGACGTCGACTTTATATTAACATTAATACAGCATAATTGCATATTAAGATTTTTGTTTGTTTTTTAATGTATATTTTTTTCATATATATATATATATATATATATATATATATATATATATATTAATGTTATGTTTATAATGAATGTGGCAAACAAGGAAAATTTGATCAATTTTTATTTAGTTTTTACAATATTCTTACATTTTCCCGTTTGGTGGGCATGAGGGTGTGTAGAATTTATTTATATTCTCCAATGTGTCAAGCGCTTTTGGCCACTTCATTATCCATTTTCAAGGTTTTTTTAGGTATTGCGAACACAGCTCCATCTACCATAAAATTTCTTTCAACTCAATATCTCCAAAACGGTGGATGTGCAGACATGTTTATATAGACCTTTGTCTTTGTTTTGGTGTGATGTAACCATCCTCAAAGCTTGTAAAAGTATTTTTGATACACCCTATATTTATTAAAGACTATAGACATTTGTTTTCATAACTTTTATTCAGTTCTTCTTACTTTTGTACAAGTAACAGATGTGTTTTTTCCAGTGTATATATATATATATATATATATATATATATATATATATATATATATATATATATATATATATATATTATTAATTTGTGAATCATTTAAGCCATTCTCGATCTGCTCTTTATATTTTAAGATAATCTAATGCACGTGTTCGCTTCGAATAATGAATATAAATTGTTATTTTTCATTTGAATTGATATGTGTGAAGTTTAAAAAAGATATTCCACTTGCGTAAAATGATCTCTCCGTATAAAGAGCCGGTGCTTTTAAAATAAACGAAAAATTATTGCATTTTTTTCCTTTTTTAATTACAAAATTGTTGAATGGGAGCGATCTTCGTTGTAACTATATTTCTGTGAAGAATTTATTTTAATGTGTCTGTTATTCGATGAAGTTTTTTTAATTTTATTATCTTTAAACAATAAAAACTTGTATTTCCTTAGAGGAAAAAAAATATCGTTGAATTTTAGAATTGAAAAATGTTTTTTTTCTCTTTCGATGTTGCCAAACTTAAATGTGTTACGAAGCGAATAAGATATAAAATGGCGGAAAAAATCGAGAAAACTCAAAAGGAAAGCAAAAAAATCAAATGATTTCTCAAAGCAATGGGCATGTATATACACAGACCAGCGTATTTTTTTTTTTTTTTTTTTGCATTTAGGTTTCATATTGCGGCAGGTGTTTTATACATTTACAATTTTAGAAATGAAATAAAGTTTTGGAATGCTTTTCAATAATTACACGAGGAATCGAGGATGGTTGACCTGGATATTTTCTTTGTCATATAAAATAAACGTTTTATTAAACAGTGTGAATCGGGGGGGATGTTGAAATAAAACATGCAAAATATAATTGCTTTTTATATTACAGCGGCAACAACTGCACATTGCTATAACAATGTAGGTATAACTATCAATAGATTTCAGTCTTTTTTATATTCATCTCCTTTTTCTCTCATTTTCTCTCTCTCTCTCTCCTTCTCTCTCTATCTCTCTCTCTCAGCCTTTTCACATCTTCATTTGTTGAATTATTATCTATCTATCTATCTATCTATCTATCTATAATATATATAACATATATATATATATATATATATATATATATATATATATATATATATATATATATATATATA